ACTTTTAGAGCCCAGGAAGTCCAAAAATGTTCAGACTTGAATTTGGGCAGGTCCGAACCTGGGTCCAACTCAATAAGTTTCACTAGTTCCTGCTATAGAAACTGGTACATTAATAAAGAAGTCAACGTTTACTTTTGAGTTGTCAATGATGATAGTACAGAAGTGTATAGAAAAATCTTTCGTTCGAACTATTCTGGTAATAATGCATGATTTTTGACTTCTCAGAAATTCTTTCAAAGTAGTTGAAAATAAATAAACATTTTGTCTCAAAACTTTCGGTCCATCCATTATTTTTCACTTAATATATTAAAAAAATATAAAGAATGCGAATTAAAGTCGCATTTATCAAGCATTAAAGTTTGAAGAGAGATAAATAAAGAATCGTTAAATCAATGTAGCAAAGTTAATTTCCAAGTTTTTAAAGGCAACTAATTAGAAATTACATTCTATGAAAAAGCTTCATCTATATGTTAAAAAAAACGATTTCATACGCACTAGACACTGGTTGGAGTGAGTACCTTTTTATTCTTTTGTGTTTTGAACAAAAAAGCCAAAACATCGAAGGTACCCTGACAAGCCCTTGGTTTTTTCAAATATAGCTTTTTTCGTAATAGTTACGAAAAATCAGCAGAACAATATTTTTTGAAGCAAAAAAAGATACTCATGCCAAACAGTGTATAGTATATGTGAAAAAAGTTTCAACTCGATCGGATATATTAGGACGTAGAAACGAGAGTGTTTTGGTGCTCTTATTTTTATGAAACACTTTGTTTGAGTAAAATGCAAAACAAAGTACAGTTTTCGCTGATTTGCTTTCTAATCAGATTTTTTAACGCTTAATGACAATTTTTCGATCTCTAGAGCTGTTTAGTCGATAGATACTATTTCAGGCTATACAATAGCCACAAAATAAACAAAAAATTTGAGCCAGGAAACGGGAACAATATCTTTAAAGCAAGCCGTTTCTGTTCCTTACAATTTCAAAGCTATAATATATCAGAAGATTATCATCAACTCAATGAATTCCAGACACATGCGAAACATCACTATTTAAGCAATTTATTACTTCCTGAATAAGATGTTAATGCAATCTGTTCTTTGGTAACAATGGAACTTTTACATCTAGTCTTATATAAGAAAACTATCCATCAATATTTAGTAGGATATCTTTAATTATTTGTGAACAATCAAAAGAAGTAGAAAAGACAATGATTAAAAACTGAGGTTAAAAAAGCTTGGGAAGTCTTGATATTTCTGAAAACATAACAAAGCTGATAACTGTCTGATGCAATTTCAATGAGATTACTTTCAAAATTGATATCGCTATTCGATAGGTTTGTTCTAATCTCGAAAGGCTTATAGATCTGCTTGATAATTCAAACGAACAACATCACTCGTGAGAATTAATATGAGCAAAATTTAATTGTATACGATTGTTATTCACTACTCTATATATTCTGTCTATACGTTTGTTTTTTTTTTGTTGTAATCGAATTGCTTCTATAAATACCGCTTGCATCAATCGCCATAGGGATCTGGTTCATATGATCCCAGATTGTTTTCTTTTTAGAGTAATCTTCAATTTCGAAGAATATGATCATATTATCAATAATGATTTCTTTACAAGACACTTTTTGAAAGAATCATGTATTTCACTTTCGAACTTTTTTTTTGGTTTTCTATCTACGGTGACGTAGACAGTTTAGGAGTTTTCTATTCAAGATTGTATTATTTTATTAATAATGGAGTCCATGCTTTTTTTGAAAGTATTTCTACAACACTAAAATTCAGAATGGATTTGACGTGATTTCATATTGAAGCATATTTTAATGATTAAAGAGTATCAATGAAGTTTGACACTTGATAAGACCTCGAATAGTTAGAACAATTCGACTTAAATAACTCGAACAAATTTTCATTTGACTGTTTTTCACGTTGTTAAGAGATTAGAAGATCCATAAGAATAAACATAATTCTATCACTATTAGGTACACGGTTTTCTTACAAATCGGTATATAGTATTGCAAGAGATGTGAAATTTTAATGACATCGCGAGGCCATTCAACTCTCTCACTAGATGCTCATTGTCAACATAGACATGGCAGGCCGGAACAACTGACATTTAATTGAAGTCATATGAGATTTCAGTGTTAGTAGCATTCGCATTTAGGTTTTTCCAAAAAAGAAAAGTTTCACTACTTCACTTTATTAGTATTAAAATATCTGCTATGAAAGAGATTTTCTTCGCTTGAACTATACTCCATTTTCTTGAGAAACCCTGGAGGTAATGATTATAACATTTTTGACATATGAAATTCTTATTAAATGCAAACGTTTGATAAGTTATTATATCTGGTATTAAAAAAACAAAGTATAAATCTTACGTGATTAAAGGAAAAATGTTCATTACATGCTGGTATTTGATAAAAAACTTCACTTGAATAATTACTAAAGGATGAATGATTTTGAACACAATAAAAAATTCATTTTGCTTGGCGAGCTTCAAAAACAAAACAAATAGCCAAAAATGAATTAAATATCGAAAAAAAAAATCACCTAATTTGTCTTGATCGCCTTTTATTTATGTATGAACCAACTGTCAACGACAATGAAATATGAAAATGATTTTGCTTTTTATGTCTGTCATAGAGTTCTATCATGTGATTTATGTCCATCTGAAAAGAATGAATAACACAATTTAACCCAGTGCAAATACACACCACATGTAAGCAATTATACTGAGGACATTCACTACGACGAGTCGGCGTGACAGTTGTAGATCTAGTAGCTGAAACTAGTTTTAAAAGGGATACGTGATGTACCTACATAATGCATAAGAAAATCATAATTTCTATTTTGAACAATAATAAAATCGAACTTCAGATTTATGATGATTGTCGTTTTGTTTGGAGAGGTTCATAGGAATGTCTATGTTAGAGATTAATTATATTCGATTTCTCTTTAAAGACTTTTCAGTTACAACTGTGTTGTCCATTATTCGATTGATTCGATGAATTTTCTTCTTTAATATATTGCGTTTTTTTACTCATAGAGTCGACATAATCGACCTTCGTCAATAATACATATTGTTTATGTAAAGTGGTCCGAACGAACTAAAACCTATTTATGTTGACGTGATCGCAATGAAAGAAACAGATAATACTGGGCACTAATCGCTATTTTATAAAAGCACGTTTTTTTCTATACAACTTCATCTAATGAGAAATATACCCAGAATTTGAAAATAATTTCCGTTCTACATCCTTCAGGAGATTTATGACACATCAAAGGCTGCTCTATTAGATGTAATTCTCACAACAACATGCGTTGTTTTCTAATACTTTTTACTTATTTCTCACAGATTCAACGAATATGTTATAGTCAACATCCTCTGTAACAGACCTGAGAAGAATGAGAAGCAATCGACGATACTGACGTAAAATGTCACAAGGCGTGCTGTTCAATATTTATTATCCGCATTTCTCTTTGAACATCTGTCATCGTTTTCTAATAAAATAATGCATCTCCAATGACTTTCTCCATTTCATTCTAGACGATATGTGCTTTTCTATAAGTTTGAATTCCATCAGTAAAAAAAATGAACAACGTTTTATTATATTTATTCTTTGTACTAAAGCATTTTAGATAGAATAGTGAGAAATTAGTGTACAGATGTATGTAGAAACATCGATTCCGAAATCGAAATATCTTGAAATATTACCTCAACATATTTAAGTCAAGTAAATATTAACAGTGATTCAATTAAGCTTTTCATTTTTTCTAGGGAAGTCAATCTTAAGTCTCGCATTGTCAAATTATTTAGAATATGTAGATATTATGTCTTGATCATGGAAAATCAGTAGATATTCTACTAATACTCATTCATATAGTAGATTAGACATATTGTCTTGAATTTGAAAAGAAAAAAAACACAATATTTAGTTGTAACAATCGAAAATTTCCTATAAGTATACATCATTTAACAGGGCCCTCCTTCAGAAAATCCTTTTTTGTAATGTGATGGAAGTTAAGTTTTTATCATAGAAGGGTGCAGCGAAGTTTTCTCTTTCAGAATATATATAGGCTTTTAAAAAAAGACCAAATTTTAACAGACCTTCGTAGGGGATTTCCAGCTCACTACCCAGTTTTTGGAGAAATTTTGGCTGTTTTTGATATTTTTGAGAATACTATTTTGCTACTTCTATCAGCATGGAATAGACATTTTTATGTGATATAGTACGAACTGTGGAGCTAGCTTACGTCATCTATTGCGTGCTTTCAAAAATTCCCCACAAATATTATCAATATCCCATTATTTCTGGACTTGAATGAAAAGATCAATTTCTAAACTTATTTATTATTTTTCTCAAAAACATGGTTTTTTGATCAGAAAAATGGAAATAACTCCCGCACAATTCAAGATAATGCCAGTATTTTTTTGTTTTAAAGGTCTAAGCGAGAGTAAAATTTTTGTTTGATCAGTTTTTTTATATTTGATTTCTGCAATAAAAAAAGCGAGATTTAATGTCATACAGTGGTATTTTTTTTGGCTTATTTCGACCTCGTATGTACTGAAACGATCATAAAAAATGAATGGAAACCAATTTCAAAATTCTATACGATGAAAAATTGCGCATTGGAATTAGCTTTAATTTGAAACCATCCTAAGCTCTCTATCTTTTGTAATAAGAAAGTTATAAGGATTCTCTTGCAAGCTAAAAATGGACTATAAATAGGCCAGAAGTCTCGTCTAGTTTGGCATATCGGGCTGAAATTTTTACTAGAAGTGTATCTCACTACGATCATTTATTTCGGAAAATTTCAGCCTAAACGGATCATCCTACGTGGCATATTGATTTTGAGGGGAGGGCCCTTAATCGGCTACCGTTTGAACATCTTTTGAATTAATAATCATAATTGAAAAAAGTCACACTTATATCACAATCTTCGATTCTTTTCTATAAATTCATATTCATTCAAATATTTTTCTCTTCAGTATTATGTCCAATGACAATGATAGTTTCAACTACAGCAACAATTCAGCTTTTCGTCATAATGAATCAATTTTTAATACAGTTAAATTCTGGTTCTATCTTGTTTTTCTCATTCCATCAATTATTTGTTCGATATTTTCTCTCTATTATCTTTTATGGAATCGAACTTTACGTCATGCTCTTCATAATCATGCGATTATTATTTTTCTTTCTATTGGTTTAACTTATGAAGTAACTATTTATCCATGGATGCTTAATTATTATTACAAACAAGGTTTATGGAAAAGAACACATTTATTTTGTACTGTCTGGATATTTATTGATTGGGGACTCTATTATACACAAACAACACTCTTTGCATGGGCTACTATGGAAAGACATATTCTTATCTTTCACGATAAGTGGGTATCAACAAAAAAGAAACGTCTATTCGTACATTATATACCTTTTATTATATTAGCTCTCTACTGTCTCATCTATTATAGTGTGACTATACTTTTTCCACCTTGTGAAAACTCTTTTAATGATTATGACATGATTTGTGTGGATGCTTGTTTGTATAAATCTTTTTCACTTCACACATACGATACGATTGTTCATCAAGTTTTACCGACTTTAATTATTTCTGGATTCAGTATTAGTCTATTAATGCGTATCTGTTGGCAAAAACATCGCATAGGTCAATCGTTAAGATGGCGAAAACACTGGAAAATGACACTGCAATTGTTATTTGTCTCCATCGTTTATCTTATATTTGGTTTACCATTAATACTAATGCATCTTTTGTCTCTTTTTGGTGTATCAAGTTATGTAACATGTGTATTTACGGAATATGCACTGTTTTTGAATTATTGTACAATTCTTCTTTGTCCAATTGCTTCTGCTGTATCATTACCACAATTGCGAAACCAAAGAAAGAACATCTTAAGATTACGAGGTCGAGGAAGGGCTGTTGCACCGATAACATAAACTAAAAAAGTACAATATTTATTCAAATGTTTGTTTTAATAATCAATATTGTTTTGTAGTTAATCTTGCATTGTACTGAATATTGTAATACACTAAAAATGAAAACATGTATAGACAAATACAGAACGAAGTTCTTCCTAACCGTAGATTATAGTGAAAAGCGATCGCAATAACATTAAAGGTTCACTCACTGGAAAATGTGATGCGAAACTTCAAGTCTTGATTATCAAAAATAAGTTGTGGCAAATCTCTGATTGCTGATTTTTGACGAAAATAACCTACAACAAATAATACAAAATCAGAAATCAAAGATACCGGGTGTCCCAAATGTTTGCATACTTTTTTATTATGCATATATCTCAGCATGGATAAATGAGAAAAATCACGTAGGATATCCTGGAGCTGGATTCGAGTATTTCGTAACTGGATTCGCCAGTAGGTTATACCAAACTTTTAAAAAAGACTATACCAAGATAGATCTCGACGATTTCTATCGATTCCACTATTTCCTTTTTTCCAAGACTCGTCCTTCATGGAAAAAAACCCAAAATACTGACAAAAAATAAGCAAAAGAACAAGCATTTTCCGTATAGCGCACCTGGATTCGTCTACAGATTATACCAAAAACTAAAATTCGTTTATCAAGATAGAACTTCTCGAGTTGTATCTAATGGACACTTTTATGGCTCGATTCGACCTTTGCATCCCCTCCGAAACGGCAAATACAGGTCCCAATTCCACAATCATTCAACTCATGTTACTTTTTCATTTTGTCTTTCTAAAAAGGATGCAAAACAAAACGTCAAGAAATTTTATTTTTCTTCAAATAAAAGTGCAAATCAATTTTTAATTCATGTTTGGTTATGCTTCATATGTTAACTTACGTTTTTTCTTATTGTGTGCATTTCTTTAAATTTAAATTACTCGGAATGATACTACGACGACGACATCTTTCTAATTATATTTCGTTTTCATTTTGATATATACATAGAATGATGTCGTCATCTTCCTGTCAGTACGAATACTTGAAATTCAAAGCAATGCACACAATAAGAAAAACCTAAAGAAACATGTGAAACATATGCAAAGCTGAATTAAAAATTATTTAACACTTTTATTCGAGGAAAAATAAAATTTGTTGGTGTTTTGTTTTGAATGTTCGTTAGAAGGACAATGAAAAAGCAGTATTATTTGAATGATTGTAGAATTGAGACACGAATTTGCCCTCTCGGAGGGGACCCAAGCATCAAATCGAGTCGTAAAGGTGTCCATTCGATAGAGATCGTCGAGTTATATCTTGATATATGATTATCAATTTTTGGTATAACCTATAGGTGAATGCAGGTGCAAAACACTGCTAAAATCTGGATTCAGGCCAGGATTTGCCCTTTCGGATGGTATCCAAGCACCAAATCGAGTTGGAAAGGTATCCATTCGATAGAGCTCGAGGAATTCTATCTCGGTATACCATTATTAGTTGTTGGTATAACCTGTAGACGAATCCAGATGCGAAATACAGGGAAAATTCGGATTGAGATCAGGATTTGCGCTTTCGGAGAGGATCGAAAGGTCGAATCGAGACAAAAAGGTGTCTATTGGATAGAGCTCGACGAGTTCTATCTTGATATACGCATTTTAGTTTTTGGTATAACCGATAGGCGAATCCAGGTGGGCTATACGGAAAATGCTTGTTCTTTTTGCTTATTTTTTGTCAGTATTTTGGGTTTTTTTCCATGAAGGAGGGGTCGTGGAAAAAAAGAAAATAGTGGAATCGATAGAACTCGTGGAGATCTATCTTGGTATAGCCTTTTTAAAGTTTGGTATAACCTACAGGCGAATCCAGTTACGGAATACTCGAATCCAGCTCCAAAATATCCTACGTCTTGCGTTAGTATTAAATGAAGTACCATATTGAATTTCATTCTTTTCTTAGCATTCAATTATCATTAAACGGTAACTTTCAGTTAATTATTAGGTTTGCTATTGAAGAGTATGATACATAAGTATTGCACTAGCAAAAGAAATGTTCGTTATATGCTCATATCTCATTCGAAGATTCTGCTTTCTAATGATGAACGATTTTCTCAACAAGAAAAAAAAATTCCTTGTGCTTGGCATGATCGCAACAAAAGACATGCTTAAACATGAATTTAATGTTGAAATAATTATTTAATTATCTTAGCTGCTTTTTTCTTTAGTGTACGAAGCAATTATAAACGACAGAGAAAAGCAAGAATGACTCTTCTTTTGAAGTTTTTCTTATAATATTATAATGGGATTTATTTCCATCTGGAAACTATGAATAACTCAACTATAGAGTTTAACACAGCGCAAATACACATAACCTGTAAGCAATTGTAGTGAGGACGACCAGTACTACATGAAGTCATGCCCTTCTTTTAAGGAAACTTCATTCCGTGAGTAATTTGCACAGAATTTGCAAAAAGCATTGTTTTACTCTCTGTATATTCCAGTAGAATTATCGCACAGCTGAAAAGATTGTTGGCGTATACGTGGTACTTCTAAAAACATGCGTTTATTAAAATTATATTTTGCACCGATTTCTCGTCCTATTTTTCACTGACAGGAGCAGTTTTTTTATAAGCAATTTCCCCACTAATGGATCTGAGAAGAATGAGAAACAATTGATAATTCTAAATATAAACTATGCAACGATGTTTCCTTCAATATTTGTTATTTACACCTCTCCTTACACATCTGCTGTTACTGTGTCATAAAAAACTAAGAATTTCCAGAGTTTTTTCTCTTTCATCCTGACTTATATATACTTTCCCATTAGTCTGTCTTTTGTCAGTGAATGCATTAAAAGACATTTTATTACACTTTTCCTCGAACTGAAATATTCTAGATAAAATAAAGAGAAATTAGAGAGTAAATGCATCTCAAAACATCGCTTCCGAAATCAAAATATCTTTGAAAGTGTTACTTTAACATGTTTTAGCTGTATAAATATTTGGAACAATAGTTCAGACAATTTGTTGTGCATCCAGGGGAGTCAGTTTCAAGTTCTGCCTCATCACTATTGAAACAAATGTAGGTATCATTTCTTGATCATGGAAAAGCGGCAGATATTCTACTAATATTCTTTGGTATAAACTATTACAAAGATCATCCTACATATGAAAAGAAAAGAAGCTATTTTTAATTTTAAAGATTGCATATTTTAGATAAGTACACATCATTGAATCAATTATCACTTTAATTTAATAATCATAATTGAAAAGAGTCATATTTATATTATAATTTTTCATTCTTTTATCTAAATTCTTAGTTATTCAAACATTTTTTACTATTGTGAAATGTCCAATGACATTGACACTTTTAACTACAGCTACATTTCATTAATTAAATACTATGCACCAATACCAAAACCAGCTAAATTTTGGCTCTATCTTATTTTTCTCATTTCATCAATTATCTGTTCCGTATTTATCCTCTGCCATCTTTTGTGGAAGTGAAATTTACGTCTTGCTCTTCATAATCATGCGATTATTATTTTTCTCTTTATTTCTTTAATTTATGAAGTAACTATTCATCCATGGATGCTTCATTTTTATTACAACGAAAGTACATGGAAAAGGACATCTTTCTTTTGCGCTATCTGGATATTTATGGATTGGGGACTGTATTTTACTCAAACGATACTTTTGCATGGGCTACAATTGAAAGACATATTCTTATTTTTCATGGTAGGTGGTTTTCAACAAAAAAGAAACGTTTATTAATACATTATCTTCCTCATATTATATTAGTCCTCTACTGTCTCATCTATTATATTATTGTTATATTTTTTCCACCTTGTGAAAATACTTTTGATAACAATTACATTCTTTGTGCTGATCTTTGTTTTTTTAAATCTTTTGTACTTACATATATGATACAATAGTTCATGAAATATTACCGAATATTATCATTGTTTGATTCAGTATTGGTTTATTAATACGTGTCTATCGGCAAAAACATCGAGTTGGTCAATCATTAACATGGCGAAAACATTGGAAAATGACAGTTCAATTGTTATTTGTCTCAGTCAATTATCTTATATTTAGTTTACCATTAACATTAATGAGCGTTTTCTATCTTCTCGGTGTACCACTTTATGTTACCGCTAAATTTACACAGTATGCATCATTTTTGTATTATTGTACAATGCTTCTTTTTCCTAGCGTTGCTACTTTATTTTTACCTCAGTTGAAAGACGAAAGGAAGAACATGTTACGATTACGAGGTCGAACAAGAGCTGTTGTACCGATAAGATAGACAAAAAGAAATACAATATTTAATCAAACATTTGCTTTAATAATTAGTATTGTTTCGTAGTTAATATTACATCGCACTATTGTCATACACTTTAGGTCAAATGATTTGTAAATAAATACAAAATGAATTTGCTCATATAGTTATTGAATATAAATCGATCATAATTAAAACAAAGATTGTATTCGAGTTTCACTCCCCTGTGAAATACACTACAAAGACTCGCATCTTGATTGCTGAAAAGAAATGGATATATTATAGAAAACGAATAATCGCTTTTACGATTAGTCACACGATGCTGCTCTGCACAAGATATTTAAGACTCAAGGCACCCAGCTTCGTTATTGTCATTTTTTTTCTGAAACTCCAACTATTCACGTTTTGACCTATTCTCTGATGAAAAGTGCAAAAATTATTTAACGGAAGATATGACAAAACTCATTATTACGAGAACTATAGCAACGTTTATTAGCATGACTTCATGGGCCGTTGTCGATTTATTATTTAATTATACGTTTGATCCATTATCTATCATCAACTGTTTATAGAGCTGTAATGAATAAAATCAGGTTTTCTATGAGACTAGTGCCTACTTTGTATGCTCTGTTCATTTTAACTTTTAAGATATGCAAAAAGCAACAAAATTCTTTGGCTTTTTATCGAGCTTTTCAGAAAGAAACAGAACGTTTTACCGAAAATCAGACAACAGGCAGTATCAGTTCGATGAATAAATGTGTCTTTTTCCGATAAATTTATCACATGATTCCAAATCGTTTTATGCAACATGACCTAGAAAGAGTGTTGATGTGTATAGAATAGAAATTAGTACACACTCCCACCAAACATGTTTCCTCAAATATCTTTACAAATGATGACATGCGGTGTTGATATACGGTCACGGGTCGTATATCAATAATTGGTCGTTACAATATATTAACTACCGCCTTATTGCATTTTTCAAGGATTAAATAAAAGGAGAGTGAGAAAATGTATTGTACGATTTATAGAATAAAACAATATCCTGTAATTCACGGTGGTAGCTGCATTACGTTTCATATTTTACTACCCTAGTTCTATTTATTCGTTGAAAAAGTACGTTGACACTTGACTGAAGACCTTGTCTTTGGCAATTAGCTGGTAATTTCCGGTTTCGTATATTCTTATTCTAAATAAATTTTTCTGTTCGAAATACTGTTTACATCCCTGTTATGATTTAAGGTTGCGCTAAAAAGTAGTCGAAAATTAACTTTGTTGAATAACTGACATAGCTACTGTATATCTATTAATAAACAAATATTTCCAATATTCAAACAAAGTCAGTCAGGTAGCCACGCTTTTTTACGTAGGGCACTAGAAAAGGTTTTTCATCTAGTTCATTTAAATCTTTCAATTTGAGTGTTAATGTTGCACTATAATGCTTACACACATTTAGGATTGTGTGAAAAATTTCAGAGTTTTACGTCTGGAGCATCGTTGTAATTCTTCATTCGTTTCAGATTAGTCATACATCATATCCGATATGAATTTTGAAGTGTCACGAGAACAGTTTCGAGAAATGATTTTATATGACTGGAAAATCGGTTTGACATACAATGACAGTCATACCTGTTTACTGCAGGCATGAGGGCAGTCAAGAATCTTCGCATTTTGCAGTTCTCAATTGATTTCATCTGTTTCAATGCGACTATTTCAGTATTGAAGATAGTGTTCGTTCATATCGCCTTCTAAAGAAACAATTGACTTTGCTTGAACAATTATTGAAAATTATCCTCAATGAATAATTCATGACGATTTCAAGTTATGCAAAGTTTGTGCTTGATGAATGCTTCATCAACTGAGCAGTAATCAAAAACAGTTACATATTTCATTTTGTCGTTTCATTCTCATCTAGAAACCAAAGATTAGTGAACAGTTTAGTTGTCAGAAAATGATTCGTGCTAAACCAAAGTTCATCAAAACAAAAGTACAGAAAACATATGAATCTAGTGAGGCAATAAATGCAAGTCGATACATCAACAGCTGCTTATCACACGTCTTCAAAACTATATCAGAAAGGGGACAAAAGGCTTACCTTGAAGGTTCTATTTTCCATGACGACAATTCGAGAACACATAGAGCTTGGAATACCAACGAAGTGTTGGCTGAAAATGATGCGGAATCATACTCAAATTCATCTTTTCTCATAATTTACGTCTGTTTGACGACAAAAACATAATATTAAATGTATTAGGACAACTCATTGGCAGTCTCACAATAGACGATTTTAAAAACTGCTTCGATAATTCGTTTATTCGAAAACATAAACGCATTGATGTTGAAAAACAGTACTTTTTATCAGAATTAACCGTTGTATATTTGTCTAAAAGGTTGACGAAACTCTTTTCTAGTGTCTATGTTTTTTTTTTGAGTATTTTTCTCCTAAAAATACATGTAACAATAATATCTTAATGCACAAAATGTGTAATATTGATTATTGGGAGTCAAATTTATAATGCATGAAAATATTTCTTTTTTAGGAAGAGAGCTTTAATACAAGAATAAAATAGAAGTTTTCGTTAGTGGAAATTATACATGATCACATGCTGATATTTTTATACTCTGGCCTGTTGTTGAAACTGCATCAGAAAAAAATGGTCTGTCTTGTTCCACTCCATTGAATTGGACGGTGCAGAACAGAGTACCCTAAAAAACCAACATTCTGCCTTGATTGTATATTTCAATCGAATTCACACACAATAAGGTTAACACATTGTGAAAATGCCCACTCAAGGGTTTCGATGGATTTATTGAACGACTATTTTCAAAGTGAAATCTTGTTTCTTTTTCCAATAGCAATTGCTTTATTTGTTCAAAGAAAATGAGAATTTGATAAAATTGAGTTTCAATGTTTTCTTATCATTCAATTATTATTGCATGCGAACTTTCAGTAAAATATTTTGTTTTCTATTAGCGAGCATACAATAAATAATTCCTACACTATGGAAAGCAATGCTGGTTACATGCTGCCAGCTGATGAAAAGTGTCGGTTGAATACTTAACAAATTATCAACGCTTTTTAAGAAAAAGCAAAAATTCATTTTGCCTAATAAATTTCGAAAAAGAAAAGAAATCCTCGAAAATCAGTTAGATTTTGTGAATATTCCTTAATATGCAGCATTCACTGTAGTTTTGTATCTGTGAATCAAATACGAACGGTAGAGAAAAGTGAAAGTGTTTTGTCTGTTAACATTTTTCTTAGAGTTCTATAACATACTTTATGTCCACCTAGAAACAATGAACAACATATCTACAGACTTTATCACAGTGCCAGTACACATAATTATGTAAGCAATCATACTGAGAACAATCATTACTTTATAAAGGCATGGTCTTTTTTTACATTAAGAGAGCTTCACTCGATGAGAACTCCATGCAGAATGGGAAAAGAACCTTTTTCACGCTCTATACTCTGTAGTAGAGTCATGTCATAGCTCAAAAAGTTGCTGTATTAAATGTAATTCTCACAATAACATGCCTATGGTTTATTTATATTTTTACTTAGTTTCTGCAGATGAAATCAATATTTTATAATCACATTTCTTTCTAGTAGATCTAGGAAGAAAGAGAAGAATCGAATAATACTAAAATAAAATGTAGAAAAAAAAGGTATTTTATTGAGTATTTATCATTTACACTTATCTTACAACAGCTGCCATTGCTTTATAATAAAAGCTAAGAGTTGCCAATATATTTTTTCCCGTTCATGGTGTATCATATTTGGTTATTCATTAGCGTACCTCTTATCAGTTAGAAAATTAAAGACAATTTATTATATTCTTGCCTTCTACTGAAACATTCGAGATAGAATAGTGCGAAATTAGAGAGTGAATATATTTCAAATCATCGTTTCCGACATTGAAATATCTTCGAAAGCTACTTCAACATGCTTTAGCTAAGTGAACATTTGGAACATTAGTTCAGATAATTGTTTTTCTCTAGGAAACTCAATCTCAAAGCCCGTATCATCAGTATTCAAAAATATAGGCATCATATCTTGACCATGAGAGAAACAGTAGAAATTCTACTAATGTACTTTCGTACAGATATTTAGTTTAGTCAATTATCATATTTATAACTTTTTGGATTAATTATTATAACTGAAAAGCAGTATATTTATATCAGGATTTTCAATTTCTTTTCTGAATTTACATTCATTTAAATATATTTTTCTTCAGTACTATGTCATATCATAATGACACTGTTAACTACAGTAATAATTCATTAATTCATTACAATGAATCAATACCAAGTGCTGTCAAATTCTGGCTCTATCTTACTTTTCTCATTCCATCAATTATCTGTTCCGTATTTATCCTCTGCCATCTTTTATGGAAGCGAAATCTACGTCATGCTCTTCATAATCATGCAATAATAATTTTTCTTTTTATTTGTTTAATTTATGAAATAACAATTTATCCATGGATGCTTCATTTTTATTACAACAAGGGTACATGGAGAAGGACACATTTATTCTGTACTGTTATAATATTCATTGACTGGGGACTGTATTTTACACAAACGATACTTTTTGCATGGGCTACAATTGAAAGACATATACTTATCTTTCATGATAAGTGGGTTTCAACAAAAAAGAAACGTTTATTAATACATTATTTTCCTCTTATTATATTAGTTCTCTACTCTCTCATATATTACATTGTTGTCATATTTTTTCCACCTTGTGAAAATATTTTCGATACTTATAGTATGATTTGTATCGAGCTTTGTTTGTATGCATCTTTTTCATCATTTTACAAATACGAAACAATATTTCATCAAATATTACCGAATATTATCATTGTTGGATTCAGTATTGGTTTATTAATACGTGTCTATCGGCAAAAACATCGAGTTGGTCTATCATTAACATGGCGAAAACACTGGAAAATGACACTTCAATTGTTATTTGTCTCGATCATTTATGTTTTATTTGGTTTATTATTAACAATAATGAGCATTTTGTA